CTAAGCAATGTCCAAAAATAATTTCTCATATCTTGTAGAATATATTACTGGTTATATTCTGATCATATAAAATGTCATTCTATAATCATATTTGTATTGAAATGTAATACCTGAGATCAGTCTGTGTATCTTCACTCTTAAAATGTACTATATGATCCATAGACGCATCACTCCTCATAGACACACAGCTGGGCTCTGGTCCTGATCTCTTCTGATGAACTGAACTATAAAATAGTTTAAAGTTAAACAAATTTGCCATATTCAGCATATTACATATTCATTTAACAATAATACAATCACACTGTATTACAAAAATCGTTCACTGAAATGAGTTCATTCACAGATATGTCTGTGTGTGAGCAACACAATAAATTATTACATTAAAACATTCTTCTTGTACATTGTTTATATCTTGTAAAATTTATTTATATGTAATACCTGAGATCATGCTGTGTATCTTCACTCTTAAAATGTATTAAATGATCCATAGATGCGTCACTCCTCATAGACACACAGCTGGGCTCTGGCTCTGATCTCTTCTGATGAACTGAACTATAACAGAAAAAATAATAATTAATTAATGGTGATACAATTTTAAGTTCTTATTTAAAAGATATTTTAATTAAAATACTGGCTGGTCTAATTGTTTTGATGTAAAAAAAAAAAAAAAAAACATAATCTTTCCTATAATTTAAAGATGATTTAATCTGTAGTTTATTCAAAATACCTGTATCCTGGATAAAAATCTTCATCTCTGGATGTTTGAGTCTCATCCATGATGAAGCTGAACAGTTGAAACAGAATCTGATCTTCACCACTGACTCTGAATGGAAATGACAAACAAATAATAATTCACAATAATTCAGCAGAACGGATCCTGAGATTCAGAGGAACAGGATCATGAGACGCGAGTTCACTCAAATACACACTGTTAGTCGTATATATTAACACAAATGCTAAATAAACCACAGACAACACGACACAATGAAGGCATGATTTGCTCTAAAGTGAAAAATATCAAACACATAAAATAACTAATATGTCCTTTAGGAGAAATAGGCTAATATTGGCCTAAATGCGGAAGTCACCTGTAAACGTCTCGAGACCTGAACACTCACCTTGATCAACGTTCATCACATTCAGATTCACAAAATCCACCGCCGTTTCTATCAAGTAGCTACACGTAAATTCGTCTTAGCTTTTGTGAAGGTTTCCATGAAATACTTTGGATTTGATACGCAGTAGAGAAATGATTCTGGATGTTCAATCGGCGAAACTCTGATAATGTACTTTCACCTGCACAAAACAATGGCGTCAATTTTATTACCAATTTGTAGTTGTCAGAGTGTCTAAAGGTCACCTAAAATGATATCCACACACCCATTAGACGCTTTTAAGATTGTAAAGAACATAAACACCTGAGATTTTCATTGTCATACCAAGTTGATGTTCCAGCCGCGACTTTGCAGGATTAGAAACCGTTACAATACAATTTAAAAAAGAATCGTCACGTGGTAACGGCTGGTTAGGACAAAACTATGATGCAACTACATGTTTTTTTTTTTTAAACGTGTGTTGCAGCGTTTGTTTTTTTCGGTCTGTGGTTTGAACACGGTGTGAAAACTGTCAGTGTGTCAACGTAGAATGATTGTAAAAATGGTTAATAAAAAATGGTTATAAAAACAAATCCAGAAAAATTCTCCCAAATAAAGCACTATATTTTACAAAAATAAAATCTCTAGAGAATGCATCCTCAAATGATTTAACAAGTAAAATCTCCTGAAGTTAGACTGAAAGATATCAGACAGAAAGATGAATTTGAGTACAATAATTTAATGTTTACAGTAACATTCAGATCCACATAAACACGTTTATATTTCATTCTAGTTTTCAGTGATTTACTGCAGTTTATTTCTAGAATGCCAAACCTGAGTAAGTGTCTGAAGGTGCTTCTTTCCTCCATCGACTACATTCATGACACAACATGAACGAAAGATCCCAATCCATGATACAAGCAAACCTAATCGAAGCTGAATTAACACTGTTAAACTCAGCTAAGACAGTTCAGGAAGCGAATGTGCATGAAAATAAAGGCGGCAAATCCTCAAAACAACATTTAATGATAAAACAACAAAAAGGCAACAAGTATAAGTGTTGACAGCACTAACATCATTTTAGAAAGACTTTAGATGCCATATTGAACCTGACACCAATGAAAACAAGGCTGTGAGAGATATTATGAAATTGATGCTGAAAGTTGGAAAAAAAAAAGTGATGATGCATTGATGTCACGTTAAAATCACTGTATTATGAGTTCCTGATTAATAAAACCAACTAGTAAAATTTGTTATTAGCCTGTTTTTAGCCTGTAACCTATCGACCGATGTGACATGACTGAAATTGCAGCAGCTCCAACAGTTAAAAATATTAGTTAAGTATCTAGTTTGATGTTGACTATATTTTGATAAAAATTTTATATTATTATGATATTAATATAAAGATGGTATAAATGTACTTCTACCCCTTAAAGCTTTGTTTTCATTCACATCTAAACTGATTAAAGTGTAAAGCAAGAACAGTCATGATGTGCTTTTCCTACACAATCAGATTTTTAAATCAATACATCAATAATCTCACTGATTATCCGAGATATATCTAGCTGCAGATCCGCTGCGCAACACCATCAGTTTCAGAACCCCAGCGCCAGAACCGGAATTATTATTATTGCATTATAGTTATTTTTGCAAGAATGTAAGGACATATTTTATAAAAAAAAAAATACCCATACTTTTTTTAATATTATTTATTATTATTAGTATTTTTTTAAACAATCAAAATCATCTTACAAATCTTCTACATAGCTTTGTGGGAGCTCGAGCCTTTGCCAACGGGGCTGAACTGTTTTCAGATACCTGAAACGTCACACCTGTCAACATGTGCCTTAACTCATATTATATCCTAAATGCTTGACATTCACTGCGTGTATCTGTTCTGAGAAACACTATATAAAAAGGGACACATTTTATAAGGGTTGTTGAACACTTAATAACAAGACAACTTCTATGTCATCGTGTTCAATTATTTGCAATGTTCTGTAGGCTAGAATTGTGTGTCTATTGATTGCTAATAACTGATACTGTATAAGTTGCCATCTGAAAACTGAGGTGTTTCCTTAGTTTTCACTGGTTAACTAAGTTTCTTAACTAAGTTCACCTCATTTTTAGGTTAATTGGTGCAACTCCTGACAGTAAGGTTCAATTCTAGTTTCATCAAAACTTTACTTTTTGCATTGTTCTATCTGTTGTTGTTAATACCTCTTTATCTATCATTACTCTCAATGCCAGCTGGATAAGGAATATAGTTAAGCGTAAGGCGTTATTTTTGTTCGTCAAGCCGCACAAATCTGATTTCTGTTTCATTCAAGAGTCACACTCAATTCCGGACGATAATAGATTATGGAGATCCCAATGGGGAAATGATCTGTGGCCGGCTCATGGGTCTGAACACTCTGCTGGTGTTGCGACTCTAAAATATAATTTTCCAGGGACTATTATTTTTATCTGTCAGTGATACATCAGGTCATTTTATTTTTCAACCATTCAAACATAAGCATTGAAAACTTTACTTTGATAGTTATTAACATATATGGCTTTAATCATAACTATGAGATCAACATATTGCTTGAAACTTTAGAGAACCATTTACAAAATACCCTCAATAACTTTCCAAATTCCGGTATAATAGTAATGGGGGGGTTTTTAACATGATTCTGGATCACAACATTGACTGTTGGCCTCCACGTGTTTCCACATGTAGATGTAGATTTAACAATCCTTACACAAATGCTTTTACTTGGAGTAATAGAAGTGCCACCAGACGTTCACGGCTAGACTATTGGTTAGTTTCTGATCATTTGGATTTTGATAAAATATCAGTTAAAATCATCACAACCCCATTAACAGATCGTAATGCAGTCTCCATCTTTATCCCTTTGCTTTCTGCCCCCGCCATAAGATGTAGGAATGCTTACTGGAAACTAAACAGCTCGCCTCTACAACGCGATGAGGTAAAATCAAACATAAAAAATCTAATATTGAAATTTTGGAATAAAGCTAAGTCCGAGGATGCTTTTGGTAGTAATTGGGAACTTCTGAAATTTAAAACTGGCCAATATTTGAGGAATTATTTATCCAAGAATCATAATTTGGAAGAAGAAAGAGTGGTCTCTAAAATAATTTCCTTATACCAGAAGGACCCTGCAGATATTTCAGAAGAGGAACGACTAACTTTAATTTTGGAACAACTTAAATTAAATGAGATTTATTCCAACAAAGCAAAAGGTGCCTTTAATGTCAAGAAAAAGGCGGACTGAAGAAGGAGGGCAGAACTCTGCTTATTTTTCGGCTTAGAAAGATATCATGGACAATGTAATTTAATCCAGCCACTTAATATTAACGATACTGTAACTGATAATCCGAAGAGTATAGCTGTTTTCTGTGTGGACTTCTATAGAAATGAACCCTGATCTAGAACCAATAGGCAATCACTACCGACAAATTTTACAGGTTTTATAGTGTTATTATTATATCTGATGAAGTGTACTGTACAATGTAATAAAGTTGAACATTTCTATCGACTTACATTGTAAATTGTAAAAGCAATGTTTTTTGTTGCTTGTAAATCTTGCATAAATTGTGACATTTGAGAGAATTATTTGTAAAACTATTCTTACATACACATCTAAAATGATAAAAAATTGCGAATAGAACTTGTTTCTGACCTTGAATTCATTGTGAAATCAGACCCGATACGAACAGGTTCAACGACAAAATCAATCTCGAAGTCACAGCCAATCAGAAGAGCTTGTGGGCGGAGTCTCTGCAAGCAAAATGGACAAATACTTCATCAAATTCATAAATATACCATTACTTTAACATTATTGAAAATACACACCGACTGACACAATCTTTGACATGGAACAGACTTGTTTGATCACAGAGTTGACGTTCTTCTTCGTTTTATTTTCAGGATCTGAGGTGAATTATTACATTTACATTTATTTATTTGGCAGACGCTTTTATCCAAAGTGACTTACATTGCATTTCAAGATAAACATTTACATTCTTATCAGTTCTTCTGATTATCCATTCTGTTATCCAGCGGTCAGTGTGTGTATAAAGGTCACCCAAACTGATATTCACACACTCATTAGACACTTTTAACATTAAGTAAAGCACATAAACGATACCTGAGATATTTTCATTGTCATACTGTATATACTATATACATCACTTACCATATACATAAAACATGAATGTGACAATAGTTCTTCCTAATAAACCACTGTTTTACAAAAATAAAATATAGAGAATGCATGTATTTTGAAAATTAGATTTAGTGAAATCTCCTGAAGAACATTTGAGAGTACAGTTCAATAGTTTAATGTTTACAGTAACATGATAGAGTCTCAAACAGTAGATCCACATTAATATTTCATTCTAGTCTATTTCTATCTTCCAATCCATGACACAAGCAAACCTAATCCAAGCTAAACTGAGACTTAAACTTAAACTCGGCTGAGAGGAAGCGAATGTGCATAATTATTAAGGCTGTAAATCATCAGAAACAACATGGAATGATAAAACAACAAAAAGGCAACAACGAGTGTGAACAAAGAGTCTCTTCTGTAGACAGACTCTTGATTCAAATTATAACACTTTTCCCAGCGCTGTCTGTATCGCACAATAAATCTATTGTCTAAGGCTTGTTTTCACTTTAACCGTTTGACACGTATTTTGAGTGTTTCTCCTTCTACATTGTAATCAATATCTAATAAAGTTGAAACAATTCAAAGCTGCTATTTTCAGCACTCATTTTCATGAGCCATTACTATAAAACAAGAAACTGGTGTGAAGTCACACACACACGTCAGTGTGATCGCTGTGTGTTTCTGTGTCTTCAGTCTCTTTATTCACCATCAGCTGATCCTGAGGAAACTGAACTGACGTCTAAACACTGAGAGTCCTACAATAAAACACACAGACACACACATATGAGTACGAGACATTACTGAGTCACATCACATCTGGAGATCATTTCAGGAAAACAGACAGAGATATTAATATATTCATATTACAGACAGAGATATTAATATATTCATATTACAGACAGAGATATTAATAGATTCATATTAGAGACAGAGATATTAGTGAAAAACTAAAAAAGATTCATAACAGCAAATGATAAACAACACTCACTTTATCACGTACACATACACCCAAATAATCTGTCAGTAATCAGATTGACGCTCGGATTGAAAAGTCTTCATGTAAACTCGTTAATCGAATGATCTCGATCTGAATGAAATGTCGATCGGATTGGGTGTTTTTTTCCTTTTCTAATGCGATCGAGAGGACATGTAAACACTCGATCAGATTGAAAACCCAAACTGGAAAGTTGTGTGTGTGTGTGCAATGACGTAATGCCGTATGATGCGTACGAGCTGTTGTAGTTGTTGAATGAAAAGTCATGAATGATCAACACAATCTCACGCCTTAGTCCTTCTCTCAGACTCTCATCCACAGGCTGTTTCGGGTGCAGGTACGGGTGTTTTTACTGACAGAGAAATATAAGCAGCGCCGCACAACGGTTCATGTGCTCATCGACTCCTAATTAGGACCTGACCCGTAATATATTAATATTAATTCTGCTGTTTAAAACAAACAAAGTAGGAGAAGAGTGTGTGCAAACAGTGGGAAATATTTGTGCAGTGTGTGCATGTCAAAAACTCAATTCTGATTTGAAGCTTGTGACATATAAACACACATCAACCCGATCACTTTATTTATCGTTCATGTAAACACGACGTTTGGATTCATCAGTCGGAATGAATTAATTCCAATTGAAACAAAAGTTGTGCATGTAAACATGTAAGAGATGAAAATATTCATATAGACCGAGCCTATTCATAGATCATATTCACATCACAGAATTAAACTCTTATTAAAAACAGTTTACAGAGAATAAAGTGGAGCTGAATTATTATCTTATATTCTCCAGTTTCACACATATGAGACCTGTTACTGAGATTGGCTCAATATAAAGATTGGAAAAAAAATACTCACAGTAGAATAATGTCTCCAGTTTATAATGAGGATCATCCTTCAGTTTATAGAGCAGCTTCCTTCCTGAATATCCAATATTATTCAGAGACAGATCCAGATCTCTCAGGTGTTCAGGGTTTGATCTCAGAGCTGAAGTCAGAGCAACACAACCTTCATCTGTGACGCCACAATAATACAACCTGTAGAGAACAACGACACACACTTCACTCTCTCAGTTCAGATCAGATCAGTTTAGCAGTGAATCCATTATTAAAGAGAAAGTTAAAGGGTTAGTTCACCCAAAAATGAAAATTAAGTCAAATTAACAAAGGTCTTACGGGGTTGGTGGGGTCGACCGATTCATCGGATTTGCCGATTAATCGGCACCGATAGTTGATTGGTGGAACTATCGTTATCGGCAAAAATCCGCACCGATAGTTATTTCCTGGTTTTGTCCGTTGCTGGGGCGGCTGAGAAGTGCGCGCTGTCATTCATTACACAGTACGAGAGAGCTGAGAAGGGTCTGCTGGCATTATGCAGTACAAGAGCGGCCTCTAGAGGTGTCATAAAAACTATCAACTGATGCCTCGTGTTGTTTATTTCGACACGTGACACTGCGCGCTGCACTGAGAGCGCGCGCTGTGTGGAGAGTGGAGATCGCTGATATCTGATGCGCGTGCTAAAGCACGGACAGCAAAAAGGTATGTGCACAGGAAATTTTGTCACATCATTATAAACTGATGAATTTGTTGACTAAATGCTGCATTAGTAGAGAAAGAACCGCACAACAGTGTTTGTTTGCCTTCGAGAGTGGCTGAGAGGACGCACATTAGTAGTACCTCAAGCGGTTAAAACACTGACACAAAAATACACCAAAGTCCGACCCGAATGTTTAATGTGACAAATTGTTCTCTTACGAGAGGTTCTCTCGTATTGCGTAAGCTAGCTTACGCCACGGGAAAGATTCATCTTTGCTAAGAAGTTGAAGCCAAAAAATTATTCCATAATTTTGTAATCATTGTCAACGCAGTCTCTTCTGAGGCAGACCATGAGCGGGCTAGCTAGCGGCTCATTGGTTCGCTCAGAGAGAATGCACGAACCTATGGGAGAGCGGCGCTGAGTCCGCGGCCAATGAGCGGACGGCGCTCGCTCACTGCGTCACAGCCCGCCAAAAGGGGCGTGGCTACAGTGTATAAAGGTAGCTCTCCCAGGCTAGTTCGTCGATTCTTTTTCATTCAGCGAGCTACACGCATCCGCTGTCCTGGGAAGAAGCCGCCGTCGTCGAGAAGGCACCTTCTAGCGAGCTCCGGAGTCTGAGGAAGCCGGCCGTCTGCCACCTTCAGCCGCCCAGCAAGCTAGCGCCATCCGACGCGTATTCTTTTATTCCATTTCACTAAAAGAGCCGAGCGTCTTTTTAAAGATGCCTCGAATTTCCTGCGGCTCATGCCGCTCTTCACTCGAGGAAGGAGACCGCCACCCCATCTGCGTTCTCTGTCTCGGAGTGGATCACGCAGAGCTCGCCCTCGCCAACGGAGGATGCGACCACTGCGAGGACCTGCCTCTGTCCTCCCTGCGGGCACGACTGCAGGCGGTCAAAACCGCTCCCGCGCCACCTCTCACTTCGCCGCGGAAGAAGAAACGCCGCTCCCAGAGGCCGCCGGAGCCCCCTGCGGATCTATGCGGGCCGCTGCCGCCGCCCACCGACCGCTCTCCCTCTCCGCCCCAGCCGGACATACAGCTGCCGCCGAGCCGATGAGAAGGACTCCTGTTCGCTGCACGCTTCTGACAGCGAGGATTGGTCGTCGATCGGCTCATCGACGAGAGAGTCTGCGGGGACCCGCGCTGGCATCGAGGAGGAACTAACGCGCCTCCTTTCACAGGCCGTCAACCGCCTGGGTCTCGAGTGGTCTCCTCCCGCCGAGCAACCACCGAACCGCATGGATGGGAAGTTCCTGCACCGGCGCCCGGCCCCCGCCTGCAGCCGGGCTGCACCATTTCTGCCTGAGCTACACAACGAGCTCACGAAATCCTGGAATGCCCCTCTTTCGGCTCGTAACCGCGCCGATGTGTCCGCTTCGCTGCGCTCAGTGGACGGAGCCGCCGAGAAGGGTTATACTGCCACTCATCTGGTCACCGCTCATCTTTGCCCGCCCTCTGCTAGATGGCGTTCTTCCCCTACGCTTCCTTCTAAAGCGTGCAGAGCGACCTCTACTTTCATGCCCGCGCCTATGCTGCCGCCGGACAGGCCGCTTCAGCGCTGCATTCCATGTCAGTCCTCCAAGTGCTCCAGAGCGACATCTTGTGCGAGATGGCGAACAGCGGTAGGAACCCGCCCATCCTCTCGGATCTGAGAAGCGCTACGGATCTTTCCCTTCGCGCCACTAAAGCTGCCGCACAAGCCCTGGGAAAATGCATGGCCGCCCTCTGTGTCGCTGAGAGACACTTGTGGCTCACGCTTACCGACATGGGAGATTCAGAACGCGCCGTGTTCCTCAACGCGCCTATCTCTCCGACCAGTCTCTTCGGATCTGCCGTCACGGGCATCGTTGACCGCTTCTCCGAGGTACAGCCCTCGCTCTCGCTCTGACAGCCGCCGCAGACAGCCTCCTCCCCGGGGGCCTCGACCCAAGATCGCGCTGAAGCCCGATCAACAGAAGTCTGCCTAGGACAGCTGAGAAAAAGGCGGCTCTCTCCCGCTGCGGCCGGACCGCCGTCAAAGCTTCGCCCACTGTTAGTCCCCGTCTCATTGCCGACTACAGTAGAGTTCACCGCCACAATCAAGCCGGTTTCCCTGCCCGCTTGCGAGCGACTAAAAGCCGTTTTCACGGCTACCCAGAGAGTTCACAAAAAGAGCATAAAAGCCTCAAGTGTAAAAAAATGTGCCCACAAGCATGTGCTCACGTATACACACAAGCACCCTATGCCCCGGGTCTCACACAGAGCCCATTCTCACGGAGCGAGCACTATCCGCTCCAGTAGCAGAGAACATAAACACGCCCACGAGCCCGTGTGCGTGTCCCCCCTCTGCCCGCTCTGTCACACGGCCCATAAACTCCTCTCTGAGTGTAAGTCCCGTTGCCAACCGCATTATAAGCGCGCCCACACCCAGTGTCCAGCCCGCTATGTGCAGCAATCAGGGCGAAATCACCATTCAACTGCTAGCCGCATGCTGCGAAGCGTGGGAAGCCATCCCCGGCATCTCCCCGTGGGTTTTAAGCATAATAAAGAATGGCTATCGATTACAGTTTCGTCGCCGCCCGCCACGCTCGCGCGTGCGGCTCGAATCCACTGTCAGCCCGGCTGCTATGAACACGCTTCGCTCAGAAATAGCCAAGCTACTGCAGAAGGGCGCTATAGAGAGAGTCCCGCCATCTATGACCGAGTCGAGGTTTTACGGCCGTTATTTTCTGGTTCCCAAGAAAGACGGCGGCCTCAGGCCGATCTTAGATCTCAGGGCTTTGAACAAAGCGCTCATGAAGAGACCGTTCAAAATGCTCACAGTCAAGAAACTCCTCGCGCACGTCCGCCAGGGGGACTGGTTCATCTCTCTAGACCTGAAAGACGTCTATTTTCAGATCCAGATAAACCCTCATCACAGGCCATTCCTACGTTTCGCCTTCGAGGGTCAAGTTTACCAATATGCCGTTCTCCCGTTCGGCCTATCCTTAGCACCCCGTACGTTCACGAAGTGCATGGATACAGCGCTCGCTCCCCTGCGAAGTCAGGGGCTGCGCATTCTAAACTATCTGGACGACTGGCTGATTCTAGCAGATTCCCAGACGGAGCTTCTGTCGCACCGCGCAGTTCTCCTCAACCATCTGGAAGCGCTGGGACTCTCTGTCAACTGGACAAAGAGCTCTCTCCAGCCCAGTCAAACTATTTCATTCCTTGGAATAGATTTGAACTCTATCACAATGACGGCTCGCTTATCCACACAGCGCGCGCGCCGTGTTCAGCGCCTAGCCGCCTCCTTTCAGATGGGTACCCACACATCCCTGAAATCTTTTCAGAGGATGCTGGGTTATATGGCCTCAGCCTCCACTGTGCTACAGCTGGGTCTTCTGCACATGCGCCCCCTTCAACTCTGGTTAAAGAGCCGCATATCCCACCGCGAGTGGACTACGGGCCGCCAGAGGATCAAGATTACTCAGACATGTATCACTGCACTGCAGCCATGGTCAGTAATCGAGTGGTTTCAGAGGGGCGTTACCATGGGTACTTTTTCTCGCCGGAAAGTCATCTCGACAGACGCATCCAACTCGGGTTGGGGTGCAGTTTGCGAGGGCTCACCGGCCGCCGGCCAGTGGTCGAGCCACGAGAGTTCCCTACACATAAACTGTCTGGAAATGATCGCGGTCGAGAACGCGCTGCTGTTTTTCCTCCCGCGCATACATGGTCACCACGTCTTGATTCGCTCAGACAATATGGCCATGGTATCATACATCAACCGTCAGGGCGGCGTCAGATCCAAGAATCTCTTTCATCTGACACGCCGCATCCTGTTGTGGTCCCAGAGTCACCTGCTCTCGCTCAGGGCGACGCACGTACCGGGCCATCTGAATGACGGTCCAGACATGCTGTCCAGGAACCTTGTCTCCCCCGGAGAATGGTCCCTGCACACTCAAACAGTCCAAACGCTGTGGCGCCTATTCGGCAGAGCGGAGATAGATCTTTTCATGTCAGAAGAGAACGCTCACTGCCCAATATTCTTTTCAAAGAGCGAGGATGCGTTAGCCCAGGATTGGCGCGCCGCCCGCTCTATGCTTTTCCCCCGATTTCTCTGCTACCGCAGGTCATTCAGAGAATCAGAGACTCACGCCACTCGGTGCTCCTCATAGCCCCGCGCTGGGAGAATCAGATTTGGTTCCCGGAGCTTACGCGGCTGTCACAGACAGCCCCGTGGCCCATTCCAATCAGAGCAGATCTCCTCACTCAAGCCCGCGGCTCGATCTGGCATCCCCATCCACAGCGCTGGGCGCTTCATGCATGGGTGACCAACGACTACGCGTCGAATTGCCAGAAGGGGTTCTGAACACGATCAAACACGCCAGAGCGGTTTCTACCAGAAAGCTCTATGCTGCAAAATGGTCTGTGTTCTCCAAATGGTGCACCGACAAAAATTTGGACCCACGGACGTGCGAGGTTTCGTCTTTGCTCGTGTTCCTTCAGGTGATGCTGGATAAGGGCAGGTCCCCATCCA